TCTATCTATCTATCTATCTATCTATCTATCTATCTATCTATCTATCTATCTATCTATCTATCTATCTATCTATCTATCTATCTATCTATCTAAATAATTAACAGGTTGCACCTTATTTATAGTCTAATCAATAATATCTACATACACCCACTCATCCGTCTTCCTTCCTTCCTTCCTTCCTTCCTTCCTTCCTTCCTTCCTTCCTTCCTTCCTTCCTTCCTTCCTTCCAATTTGGCAGCACCTGCGGGTACCAGACACTCAGAACAAGCATTAATAACAACAATAAGATTTGACAAACTTTTCATGTGCACTCTCATCTCTGCTCAACCCACAAGTGCATGCTCCTTACAAATGTGGCACCATTTAAAATAAATCAACAGGCTTTCCATAAGATTTATTGTGAAGCAGAAATGTTACAACAAAGAAATAATCTATACCAAACACCAATTTCCTTACTTTTTGTGCTAGGTTTATTTATTTCAGAGAGGCATTTGCACAGGACACGTGCAGAAGAACCGACTAGCAACATTAGGTTAAAAAAATCTCAGTCCAACAAAATATGTACAAAGTTTCCACATCAAACAGGAGGCAGAGGTGTGTTGTTTATTGTGAAGGAAGCAGTGAGGATGTTGGTCAGTCGTTCACAGCGGAGTGTCAAACCTGAACCCTGACGGAGTGTGGACACAGGAGAGCAGCCAGGGTGTCTGTGCACACCTGAGTGTAATATTTACACGCAGAGCAAAAACAGCTTTGGTTTTTATGGTCAAACCCCCCATTTGGGCTGGAGGCAACAAAGAGATATGGAAATAATCACAAACACATCGTGTCTGTGTGAGAAAAGAGCTTTTTTACATAAAAAAAACTGACAACAGCAAAAAGATGGTCTAAAGTTTAGCTCTGATGTTTTGCAAATTTGCTTAAATTTCTGCAYTTTAATGACTGTGAAGTGAATCTAGATGCTTGTCTGCAGTTCCAGCTGCAGGTCAGGACAGGTGAAGATGCTTTACAATGTATATTAAACAACAGCTACATAAACTATAATAATATGGCCCATTTTTACTGAAAAATGCACGAGGAAATGTTTAAAATAAAACTTTTTTTAAATAAATGACAACAACAGGTTTATAAAAATAATGAACAAGCTTCAAATTCTGAAATGAGTAAATAAATGAAACACTTCCAATAAAATAAAAATAAAAATCCTCTGTTTATTTGAGAAAAAAAACTAAGTCATAATGGTCATTTTACATCCTCAGTTGTTACACAATAAAAAAAAACATTTCAGGCTGAAAAAATGTGAGTTAAAATAAAGCTGGACAGAACAGATATGATGCAAAAAATAGGAAAATGTTTTACTGTTAAAATGACAACACATCCTCCTAAATGCTCACATTGATTTATTTTAAGAGGTTAATCAGAAATTATTCAAAAAGTACTCATGTATACATTTTATATGTATATATGTACATATTTTTATGTTAAAATTTTGCATATTGTTTGAATTTTTAGTGAAGTGCAAACACTTTACTTTACCTAAGTAGACATTTTGCTTATTTATACTATAGTGGAGTACTTATTTTTCAGCCTACTTTTTACTTCTTCTCCTTACATT